ATGTAACAAAGTGTCTCAAACTGTTGTTTTATGTCGCAGGTTTGAATGTGCAAGACCTGTGAACTGGAATTTTGTGTACTTCAGTGATCGTCATTTGGTGAAAGATTTTGCTTGTTTTTGGTTATTGTTTGAAAAACTAATCTGGATGTGAATCATTCAGTCTATCTGTAGTGAAAACATTTTGTGGGAGGCCTGGTTATCAATGTGTTGATTTTTTATTTTCTAGATGATAAATATCATGTTATCCGACTTGCAGAACTATATAGAAACTGGTGCGGGTTGCTTTACAACTCCTTAAGGTGTAGTTTATAATTTAAGAAACATATCTGGAATTTTATGTTAGGCTTAACTAAACCTTGAAGTGGGTTTGAATAATTATGCCTTTGAAAATTGTTATTTTAAAAGACTTGGAGAATTGGAAAATGAAGTTTAATTGTATTATTTTTCAATGGTTTGGGTGAATTTTACAATCTCAGTCTAGTAGTGAAATTCGGATTGCTCAATTAATTTGTACGAATTACGAAATGCAAAAGGTAATAACAATTGTTTTCGGGAAACTCTTTTTATTCTTGCATAAGACTTCATATTTTTTAGGGTTAATTACTATATAAATCTTGATCTTTTAGCGATTGGCAATTTAATCCAAACATTTGCATAATTGCAATATAATCTCTGCATTGTCTTACTTTTGCAAAACGATCTTAAAATTCGTTGGAAGTTCAAAAAATGCCAGCGTGTTTGGCCAATTTTATCCACGTCAGATTTTCCTTTGTTGAGTATGAATTCATATATATTTTTACATAGAATTTACTCAGCAAGAGAGAATCTGACGTGGATAAATTGACCGGACACCAGACATTTTTTGAACGTTCAACAAATTTTAGGTTCGCTTTGCAAAAGACAATGTAGAGATTATATTGCAATTATATCTAAAAGTTTGGATTAAATTGCCAAACGCTAAAAGGTCAAAGTTTATATAACAATTAATCCTATTTTTTATTTTTTATATTTCATAAATTTTCCTGGCAAGTTTGTTTGGATTGCACAAAAATGGGAGGTAGATTCCTACGATAACGGGGAGGTAGACTCCTACGATAGCGAGAAAATTTGGGTTAGGCGTATTGAAATTAGAAAAATCTATTGTCCTCGAAGGAGTTAGACATATTGAAATTAGAAAAATTTGGATTTTTATCTATTACCACTTCTACACTAAAATGAAGATGTATGTTTTAGACTTACATAAATTTACTCATAGTTTTATAACCGGAAATTTCTTATAAAAATTAGAGTTGAACAGAGCATACTATCATGATAAGACAAGATGCAATAATGTAAGGGTTAATTACATTTAAAATTTTAACATTTTGTGTAATTTCAAATAAAACTCAACTTTTTTTAATTTTGGCAAAAAAATACCAAACATTTAATAAGTATTGCAATTGTGTCTCAAAATCAATATCTGGTGATACCAAACATTGAATAAGATGACCGAAAAAGTCATCGCCAGAAAAAGTCACCGGTTCCGGCGAAGGTGGACGTCACTAAATGTGGCTTTGCGAGAGGAGTTCAACGGTACCTTCGGGTTCACATGGGTCAAAGCGAGTCACCAGGAATTTGCGAAAGAATGCCGTAAAAAATTTGAAGATCTACGATTTGACCGGAAAATTGAAAGCCTTATCGTCCGAATTTTTTCGTGAAACTCGTATATGTTGTCGGCACGGAGGAGAGCTACAAGATCATGTAAAAATTTTCAACATCTGGCAAAGTTGGCCGGCAGCCGGTGGCGGTTGGCGGCGATCCGACAGGTGAGACACAATTGCAATACTTATTAAAAGTTTGGTATTATTTGGCCAATTAAAAAAGTTGAGTTTTATTTATAATTACAAAATGTTAGAATTTTAAATGCAATTAACCCATAATGAACACTGCAATGTGAAAGTTTAGCACAGGGAAATTGCAAGTTGTATTTAAATGTTATTTTCTTATTTTTACATATTTAGATAATTAATAAAAATAGTATTTTAATGATCTAATTTTCAAAACCACTTATAATTTTTGAAAATATTATTTATTAAATATTTTTATATATGTAAATTATATAGATTAATTTTCTTATTAAGGAAATTTTACTACATATTTATTATTATATAATTTAATTTTCTTATTAAGGAAAATTTACTACATATTATTATTTTTTATGATAAATATGTATAATATAATTTTAAAAAAATTAAATATTTTTGTTCACATAGTTATATCATGAAAAATGGTAGTCGGCTCACATATTTATGTCTAAAAGTAAATTTAGCTGACCTTTCATTGAAAAATTGAGTAAAATCTTGAATTGAAAATAACATAAAATGTAAGTCTTCGATTGAAAAATAAAATAAAATTAAAATCTTAATTGATACAATTTCAAAGTTTAGGCAAATCTCTCCAAATTTGCAAGTTTGTCCTTTAAATTCCTTTTACCTCTCCAGCAACAGTTGTACATTTTCTTTGCCACCTCTCCACCTCCCCCACCCACGGCTCACCCCTCTCTCTCTGCCCTTTATCTCTCTCATTTTGCAGATTCGCCTGCGCGCATTTATCTGAAAAATGGCGAACGAAGATGGTGGAGATGGTGATTTGGGTAGAGAGATTAAAACGTGCGCTGTGTTGGGCGGAAGGGGATTTATAGGCCGCACCTTGGTGGAGAGGCTGCTGAAAGTTGGCAGTTGGATCGTCCGAGTTGTTGATGCCGCCAAAGTTCCCGAGCTTGAATCGTCCGAGTTGCTTCTCGCCGACGCTTTATCCTCCGGCGGCGCGGTTTATTTCCAGGTTGATGTGCGTGATAAATCCCAAATCGTGGAAGGTATTTTTTTTTTTTTTTTTTGGTCTACGTATTCAATTCGGCTGTAATTATGAAACTGTTGTTCGATGATGTCGTGTGGAGGCTTATATTTTCACTGATAGATTGTTTCGGATATTGACAACACAGCAGAAGGAAAACACTTCTATTTCCCACTAGGAATTTGGCTAGGAACATTCGTGTTAGGGTTTATGCTATGCTATGATGCCAATGTCTACGTTGGAAAATTTGATGGCATTATATTGATTTATTCACTTTTGTTCATGTTATGCTCAATGTTGGTATGGTAGATAGTTTATACTTTATTTTAAATTTGATGAGCAACATACTCGTTTCTGTTACAATATTGTTCATATGATGATTTTAAGGTGGCCTTTTGATCATTTAATTGTGAAGATATTTTCACACAATACTTGTCTGGTTATGGGTTTTCGTCACGAATACTTGTTGGCATGAGTTATACTGGACAAGCAATTACAACTGAGTTACCGAAAGCTGATTTACAATTTGAAGGTGGTTTTCTGGGTATTAATGGTCATCCGATTGCATGATGCAAGCTGATTTGATATTGATTTCATATATCCCCTGATATTGCTGATTCAGAGTATTCCAAACCACCTGATATATAGTCATATTGGATTTTGACATTTTGGTCAGTTTCTGTTCTAATTTATTTTTGAAAACTTACTTCTCTTGTTACCAAATATATTTACAAATTGCTAACGTTGAGATGCCTACAATATCTGTAAATGTATATTCAACCAACTTTAATACGCGAGGCAAATTGTATAGTTCTAGTTTCTACTTTCTAGATTGTCTTTTTTTTTTTTTCTTTTACGTCCAACTTTGTACGATAGTTGCTTTGATGTCTGAAAATATGGATAGTAAGAAATGGCTCTTTTGGATGCATGACATTGGGCTGCATCTTGTGCTTTGGACTCCTACACAAGTTGTAGAAGATGCTTGAGGTGGATTTTGATATTTTGTCGATCTGAAAATGGATGTCATAATTATAGTCACAATATGTAAATATACCGTGACTTAGCAGTCTATTTATCCCAAAATGGAGTTCATTAATTTCATTTCTCTTTCCTCTATTAAGATAAAAGTCCTCGTCTAAGACACATTTCTACTTTCACTGTATCTCCTATGTTGTTTCATTAGTTCTGCTTGGATGCATTATGCTTAACCCTCGGTTTCAAAATAAATACTTGATTTCTTCACTTTGTATTTTAAACTTCATCTCCTTTTACCAAAAATCTGCATGTTAACAACTTTTCTTTCTGTGCAGCTATTAATGGTGTTTCAGTTGTATTTTATACTGACTCTATGGATTCATACCCTCCCGATTTCTATTTTTGCTACAATATCATTGTTCAAGGTAGAATTCTCAATTTTAGGTAAGGTATTGAAATTGAATGAAGCCTGCTACATGTTATCACATCCTACACTGATTTCCTTACTTTTTCAATTTTCAGGTGCAAAAAATATAGTGAATGCTTGTCAAGAATGTAAAGTTAAACGGCTAGTTTACAACAGCTCTGCTGTTGTAGTTTTTGATTATTCCCACAACATATGTCATGGAAATGAGTCCTTGCCATATTCTGGCCAAGTATGCATTTGAGTAAAATATTGAGGTTACTTCACTTTCTTTGTTTGCCAATGGACAGTGATTTCTAAATCACGTCCATCCTATGCTACAGGTCTGGGACACAATCACTGACCTTAAGACTCAAGCGGAGGCACTCATCTTATTTGCCAACGATGTTGATGGCCTTTTAACATGTGCCCTTCGTCCTTGCAATGTATTTGGGCCTGGAGATAAACAAATTTTACCTATGCTGGTGAATGTGGCAAAATCCAACTGGGCTAAGGTCTGAAAGCTAGTTTAAGTTCTCATAATCACTTTGCCTAAGATCTGTTCTGTTTCTTGTAAATGTTGAATGACTGTTTGAAGATTCCATATAGTACTTTCTGCTAAACAACCACGCTTCTCTGGCTACTCGCAAGTGAAAATATCCGTAATCCACTTCATTGGCAACAGAATGAAATTATTACAATGTGTAAGACTTATCACTATTGCCTTCTAAGGTTTTGGCGTGGTTTTAGAGTGTAGACCTTGTTTTGCTCCTCAGATTGAGGTGCATGCTGAAGGAGTTGAGGCCATCTGATTGTTATTTTCTTTTGGCGTGGGTCATGGTCATACCCCCTATAGGAGTAGCACTTTAAAGAACTTTTATTCACCTAAAGTCCTGTAAGTATCTCCCATGTCCATTCAGGCCCATTGAAATGGAAAGGCAGCTTCTTAGAAAATTCTTTATCATTTGACTGATTTTTTAAGTATTAGATAGTCGAATTATCCTGAACCAATATATGCATGATGCCTTTCGGCCCAACAGCATTAGCGCCCATTGGAAAAGAATTAGCGGCGTTTGGTCGGTTAATGACTACTCATTTTAAAGTAATATTTCTTCTAGATTCTAAGTAATAGACTGATATTCATGTCTATTCTGACCAAGGCAGTCGTTAGCACCCATTGGAGAAGAATTACAAATTGACTAATTAATTGTGAATTTTTGTTATATTATTGTGTTATTTACTTTGGGGAACTACTTAGATTTTTTTTTTTTTTTTGGGTTACAATAGTTTAGTGGTTTAATGATGAGGCTTGTCACCCCTCTCGATGGAAAAAAAAAAAAAAAAGATTTGGTTCTCATAGGCATAGTCCTTGACCATGTTGTATTCCTACGCAGTTATTATTTACATCTTGCACATATTGAGCTGGGTTTGTGCTTTTTTGAATTAGTAATAGGCTTCTCATTTCAGTTTATTATAGGAAGTGGAAACAACCTCTCGGATTTCACTTATGTTGAGAATGTTGCCTATGCTCATATCTGTGCGGAAGAATCTCTATGTTCTCAATTGGCAACTGTATCTGGGAAGGTATTTTCAATATCTTAGTTCCTGTTTGTGCTGTTCATTACTTTCCCTTAATATGAAAATACGTTGCTCTGAATTTTTTTGTAGGTCTTTTTCATAACTAATCTTGAGCCAATGAAATTTTGGGAATTTGCATCTTCTTTGCTGGAGGGCTTGGGCTACCTGAGGTAACAAGATATATTCTGTTATTTCATTTGATGTGATTTGCATTGGAAATCAATAGCTCTTGCTATGGTACATATGTTGCATGTTGTGGTTTGTTTGTTTTTTTATGTATTCATACTTGCAATTTGGCTTGATAGAGAACACTGAAAAATGAATAATGAATAAGCCGGGTCGATTTCCTGATGCCGCTTTATGGGCAAATGAGTATTGGCAAAGTCTTTTTCCTTTAACTATTCAAGTTGATGTAAGAGGACTGAGATAATCTTTGGAGGCTTTAACCCATTTTAGTTACGAAGAATATTTTTCTACATTGACTATATTTTGCGTGATTATTCTTATCTATATTTGCATGTATTATTTGGCTGTTAGTGATGATCTTTTTGGCAATTAGCTTCAAGGACAGGACTTTCAGATACTAGTTTTCTAATCAATTTTGTCGCTGAAGTTGCTATATTTGCATAATCACAGTCGGAGACCACAAATTAATTGATTCGGACATTTCAATAGTTTATTTTCTTTACTCATTGGATCAAAAGCAGTTTGCTCCACAACTATGGATGTCCAACTGGCGGGTTTAACAAAACCTTTGAAACTATCCTGGGGAACCCAGGCCTGACTCTGCTTGAACTTCACACAGCTCAAAAGGTTAAACCCAAATAGGTCTAATCTGGTTGGATTCTTGAGGTCCTTCCAGTTCTCCAATTTGTGTGGTCTTTCGACACAAGTGTTTACGTAAATGAAGTTTCAGTCTTTTACTCCTTTTTTTCATTTTATTTCTTAGGCCATCAACACTGACAACCTTAGAGTTCTTGTTTAATAATATTATATTTATCTTAGTCCTCTCTCTCGTAGTGTTAAAAATTTGGTAAGAGGTTGTTACACTGGAAAATGGATGCTAATTTTCTTATCTAATGATTTGCCAGATAAATGGCATGCACAATAGAAAAAGTACATCCAACAAAATACCAGGGATGAGGCTCTGGGAGTTTTTTCTTTTTTTTTTTTTAACTTGTAAATACTACTTGAGTAGGAGTTTGAATGTTTTGCTCACTGAATGACTAAAATGTAAATGTGATTTATAACTGGCAATAATTATGTTTTCGACTTCTGTATCACCCATAGTCTCAATTCTTCTTTCTATTTCTAGCTATTCATCTTTGTTAGAAATCTTGAAAATTTAATCATGCCTGTTGGTCTTTTTCTCTGTTCTACTCCCCTTTGTACATTATGAGTAAGTTGGACAATAGGTGTTGCTTGTAGTGATTATATGCTGTTAACATGTACTGTATGGTTGTTATTTTTTAAGTTACAAGCTTGATTTCCAAACATGTACACAACTCAGCTCTTTTTGTTTGTAGTTTTTGAAAAAAAGAAAAAGTAGCCAGTTCAACCCATACATCCTCGATCCCACTTTGGGATATTCTTTTTATTTGTTAAACGTCTTCTTCTTTAACTGATTGCAGGCCTGTAATCAGTCTCCCTGCTTGGGTGGTCCGCTGTATAGTTTATCTTATAAAATTGCTGCATGTGAAGTCAGACACCAAAAGGCTTGATCTATGTGCTTCTGTTTACAATATTGCTTCTTTCGCTTCACACACAAGGACTTTTAGTTGTTCTGCAGCACAGAACCATATTCAATATTCACCAGTTGTCACCATGGAAGTAAGTTTTCATCCTTGGTTTTCATTATTAATATTTTTATTTGCATTTATGTTTTGTAGTGTTGCATTGTTCTCTTGTGTTCGCTTTTGGTGTGCCTAGCTGAGGTTACCTGGGCTATTTTGAGGCACCGACATCGCTGAAACTTAAAAAATGCAATTATCAAAATATTAATCTTGGTTCTGTCATGATAGATATGTGGCAAAACTTGCCAAATTCATATTTCAAACCACAATTCAAGAAAGTAATATCGATCGAACTAGCTTACCGTGACATGGACTGATTAGTTATTAAAAAATGAATTGCTTACTTGGAAGACCAGCTTTTAGAAGCTAATGAATGCCTAATATTACTTTGTGGGCAGATCCTCTGTCATTTCTTTTGTTGTGTCCTAAACCCATCTTCTTGATTATTACACGCGGCTAAACTGAGTTGTATTAGATAGAAAAAATCGTGCTTAGGTATTTATTTGAAAGAGTTTACATGGCCATATAAAAATTAGGGATGCAATTGAATATTTTTTTTTTTTTAATTTTAGAATATAAAAAAAAAATTGTTGGAAGCGAGAAAATTTAGTGGAAGAATTAATGAATTTTATAATGTTACTTATTGGTGCTCATTGGCCTGGGGTTTTCCCAAACCTGAACAGATTTGTCTAGATTTATGTTTTGAGCTGGACCTTTTGTTTGACACAGGAAGCGGTGAAGCTAACTGTTGATTCATTCTCCCACTTGACTGTAGACTCAGCTTTCATGAGATATAAGGAGTTCAATGAACTGTCAACAGTCGAGAAGCTGTTAGGCAGTGGAGAAGGTATTATACTTTTACAGTTTGTGGTCCTATGTGCAGTTGAATATTTTGTTACGCTTGTTATTTGTTAATGAGCATTTATAAACATATCTTAAGTAGTGTATTCACCAGTAATGATTACTGTCTAGTTGTCCCTCTTGCAAACTCGAGCTGTCCTGACTAATCCTAGACTGAGACAGGCTATCAAAACTTTGTCATGCTTTCATTTTTTAAGTTTAATTCATGCCTAATGCAGCTTAAACCCCCGGTGACAATATTTTTTATTGTTACAGTTGCTGATATTCTGTTGTGGAGGAATGAGAAGAAAACCTTCTTTTCTTTCGTACTTCTTGCTCTCCTGTATTACTGGTTTTCCCTGTCAGGGGGAGCTTTTATTTCATCACTTGCTCAGCTGCTTCTGCTAATTGCTGTTTTGCTTTGTGGACATTACATTCTACCATTGATTGGGTATGTAAGATCCATAAGTTTTCACGATAATATACCTGCTGGGGGTTGCCCTTTTTAACGTGTTATTACAGTTCATTGTCAGTGATATCACTTGAGCTACACGGCCTATTAAGGTTTATGTTTGTTTAAATTTGTCTCCCTAGTACTGTGCAACTTTTAAGGTTTATATGTTTGTTTTCAAAGATAATCCAATTATCTTTTCAAGATAATGAATACACCTGTGTGGCGTTACAAATTTTACTATTAAGGTTTATGTTTGTTTTAAATTTATCCCCTTAATACAGTGCAACTTTGAGAATTTATTGAGTAGGTAGTATCATTTGAGAAGCTTTGTAATTTGGCTAAACCCCAAGGGTAGCCCCTTTCTTTTTCTTTTCTTTTTTTTTTCCCTTCTCTCCTCTTCTCTTCTCTCTCTCTCTCTCTCTTCTCTCTCTCTCTCTCTCTCTCTCTCTTTCTCTCTCTAGCAACATCAAGTTTGTGCACTATGCCATCTTGCTTCTGATTCTGAGTTTTCAAGAACTGAACTTTTACAATCTGATTTGTTAACAAGTCTTGCTCGACTCTTTTGCTGAGAACTGAATGCAGTTTATATTTCCAGTTTTGAGTTAGTTAATTAAAATGGCCCATCCATCATAATAATTCTAATTATTAAGTGCAAATAATTAATATTATGTACGTTAGTTGATTTCACTTGCATATTCTCCACAGATATGGATCAAGAGTTCCTAGATTATCATCATCGTGTTTTGAGATCTCGGAAGTTGACATGAGAAATTCTTTTTTCACCATGAAATGTATGTTCGATAAAATGGATTATATTATAAAGTCATTGGCTCAAGGAGAAGACTGGGCACTCTTTTTAAAGGTATGTACACTCCGAATCTTGTTCCAGTCTTTATTGAGCTTGTTGGATGATCTGGTCTATCCGCCGTTGAAAATTTATACATGCTATTCATTGTTTGGTATATATGTGCTATTTAACTGTAGAAGAGGAATTATGTAACTTGTTCCTTTGTTTTTGTCAGTGAGCAAGTTTCATTGTCGAACTGCATCACACCAGACATATCTAACTGGCCTCGTTTAAATTCAAACAGGTGTCCACGTTTCTGTATTCCTGTAAGGTGATCATTCCCCAGTACCTAAGTACTGCCATTGGTTTGGGTAATGAAATAAATAGTTACTCAAATTCGAAATTGTTATTGCTTTCCACTTAAACGTGCTTGGTCATTTTGATTCTTCGGTAATGATTTCTTATGGTGGTCGTAAAAATTGGCAGTTTTGATATTTTCGTTCACCTTGTGCTATGTCTATTCGCAATATGAGGAGAAAATTGATGGGATAGCTCGAGTTGTATACAGCATTGGTATGGAGACTGTGATCTTACTTGCAAAGAAGCTACCGATACCTTTGAGCTCGGTTATCTGAAACTGTATTCCTCTGGCAGAGGAATCTGACCGTAACTGGTCTGGTAATCGACAATGAGTGCTGGAATTGGCCATCCGAATGGAGTTTTTCTTCTTCTTTTTTTCCTTGATGGAAACAGAGCACAAGGCAAGAATGACCAAATGTAATACATTGTAACCTCTGTAGATATGCAATTTTTATATAGCGTTTATGGTTTTTACTGAGGATGTGCGCACCGTTTCTTGAGAGGTTGTTGCCTATGGGGAAAAAAAAAAAAATATATATGAAAAAAAATGGAAAATTCCCGTACTTGAGTTGAACACATTGTTTTCAACACCATATTCGTGGTCATAGCGACGCGGTATTTTTGGTTGATTGGTGTAGACTAGTATCTATTATTATTATTTAATAAGTATTTTGGAGAATAAGTTAATAATTTAATATTTGGTAATAGACCTAGTCTTGTTGGACAAGTTATGAATAAGATTTGATAATAGGTATGATTTTCTTATTGTATGTAGAAGGTTGGTTCTACTATGAAGTCAATTGTTGGCTTTATAGCAAAATTGAAATTATGGAATGAAAAGATGAATTGATTCATGTTTAGATATTCTTGAGATTGCGATCTCATTAATATCGTCCCGTCGTATATGCTTCATACTAGAAAATACAATGCTATATGTTAATAAAAAATTTTATGAAGCCATCAGATGATTTTCTCATGAAGCCATCAGTCACTTAATGTATTGACACGTGTCCAAAGTGTATTTATTGTAGGACGCGTATCAATAGACTATTTGTGAATAAGTGGAGATAGCTCCATAAGTCGTGTCTTCCGATGGCTCCATAGCAGAACTGTTGAGTGGGAAGGGATTATTTTCTCATGTATTGTATCTTCGACAAACAGAAACAACAAACATTTCAAACCCTAAACTATATTATTCTCTGTTGCATCCTTCCGGTTAAGGGAGTTCTGGATGCTCGAGGTTGAGATCCAAGAGCGAGACAC